AGGGGGGGGATAGTCGGTCCCTTGTGCCACCAAGAAGACAAAAGAAAGGACGTTTGAAAAAGTGGGAGAAAGACGGAATCCGGAAGGAAGCATAAGTTGAGAGAGAGGTCAGTTTGACTCAACCATTTCCCCGACTGCATTACTATGAGAAGAGAATGGGCTGATTGAGCATCAAGAGGGAACAAAGAGCAGCCGAAGGATTTGAAAAGATAGGCATGTGGGAAGGGCTATGTGTTGATCCCCAACGCGGGATTGTATGGATCCTCTTGCTTGTGTGGGATTGTGCAGGTGAGTGATGGCTAGAAATGCCTTGAGCGGGATAGGGGCGAGAGAAACTAGGCACCAAGAGTGAAAGGGAAGAGGGACAAAGGGGCTATGGGACCCTTGACCAACCCATGGAAATGACTTTTGCGCATGAAGACTTGGAGTGTGAATGAGAGTGCAATTGTACCAAGGAAATTGTGATGATGTGTGTGGATGCATATGAGGACCCCGAAAAGACTAAGGGGTCTACTTCAATAAGGAGGAAAGCAAATTATGAGACCCGATGGATGAGTAGAGGCGAGGTAGAGGACGGCTCCGCCGCACCCCGATGACGTCATATAGCCACAATGCTTAGGAAAATGGTGCGTGACCTAAGGATGACGTTTAGCCTACGCACAAGAGAAGAGAAATACTCGAAGAACCTTTGGGCTGCATGCGTATTGGAAGGAGCAATTGTATGAGAACACGACAAAGAATAAAAAAAAATCAGCGTTGCGACCAACGAGACTACCACCCGGCGTGAGGGCTGAGCTACATCCCCAATGTCAAAGCTCTCTCGCGCGATGGTCCACCCTCATCCATCTCAAAGCACTAGGTGGGGGTGACCTTGGGACAAATCGCCCGCGCCCTGAGCATGAGTGTGGGCGGGCCGAGCCAACTGGAACCCGCAGTGGGGTCGACTAAGGCTCGAAAGTCTACCGGGGTTTGGCCCTACACGGACTCACCCGCCAGTTTTTGGCCTAGGGCACTGGCTGCCCCGCCCAAATTTTTGAACATAGGACCCGGTCTAACTACGATTTCAGGCTCTGGCAAACCTCACTGGATTGCATCCTCTGACTGCGGTAGGGTTCCATTCGACCCCTTTTGACCTCACAGGGCAGACTCTCGGAGTCTTAGCCTTAGTCAACTACTGAATTGGACACTCGCGTCGGGGACCTGTTGACCCCACTAGATTGCGGTAAGGCTCTGGCTGGCCCCGACAATCAACGCATCTCAGGTTAGAGAAGAAAACCCCAGACATAGACAGTCAGACAAACATATCAAGCCCACAGTCAGAGAACCCATACCCCAGATAACGGAACAAAGATTTTTCAAAAGACGTCATGCCAGTCTCAAAAGGCTATAAACAACAACAACAAACAACCGACTCTGTATTCCCTAGATACCTCCCTTCAACTTTAGGGAATACAGAGTGCTGACCTCAGAGAGGTCCCTTCCCTCGTCTGAGGATACGCTGAAGAGACCTTCCGTCAGCCTCAAGGAAGTATAGAGATATTTGTCCAAGAGAGGTTATTTCCCTCATCTGAGATAAAAAATAAGCAGCTTAGTCAAGAAACACGAAGTCCCTCTGCTGACAGCTCTCTCGTAAGAGAAAGCTGAACTTCTTTATGCCTATCTTCTTGATAATTCTCCTTGACTGGCAACTCAGTCTGAAGACACGAAGTCCTACTAATGACAACTCTCTCGTCAGGTATAGTTGAACTTTTTTATGTCCGCCAGACTTTTAACACTTGCCTAGAGATCCGCGGACTCTCTGTGCATCCCTTGCTGTTGCTGATGGAATTGGGGGTCTGTATGGAGGAACACCGGTCCTGGTGGCCATGACAGATGACTATGTGATGACGAGACAACCAAAGTAAGTAGTAGACCGGAAGAGCTCCTTCTCTAACACATCGTAGAGATCTGCCCTCCTCTAGACTACGAGGACTACTTGAGTACGTACTCGCAGCGAGGCGGACCTCCCTCCCCGAAGTGGGAATGTACGAGACGATGACCCGCTCTCCATCGTGATGATGGAAGTGGCAGACGAGCAACGCTCACCACGGCTGCAACAGTGAAACACCGCGCCCCAACACTTTTTCAACGGTGGTACTGGAGCGCAGCGCTAATTCTCTCTCTCTCTCTCTCTCTCTCTCTCTCTCTCTCTCTCTCTCTCTCTCTCTCTCTCTC